TGTCCAGGGAGTTTTGAGAAGAGCTATCACTTGGCTGTAGGGGACAAAAACCAAGAGCTATTTTGTGCTGGCTCCTCCCTGGCCAGGCAGAGCGAGCTGAAGGGTTTGCTCAGCTCCCAGAGAGCCCCATCATCAGCTAACACTCTTTTTTGGCTATTTTCCCTAAGGTAAAGTTGGCTCCTGGACTTGCAACAGGGCTGGTGCCCTTGCTGCAGGTGGCAGTGCCGCCACCAGGCTGGGGCCACACCGGCTCGGCTCAGAAACTTTCCGTGAGCTCGGCCTGTGCACATGGCAACGCTGACAGAGCCTCGGGGAAGGCTTCAAATTTAAAGCAGGATGGTTTTACAGCATTGCTTTCCCCATGGCAAAGCTTTTATTCTAGCATGAACACTTCCTCATAGCTAAATTCCTTTCGCGTCAGCGGGACAGGTGTGCCCGGAGCGGTGCTGCCCGGTGAGCAGAGGGTCTGCAGCCACCACGGCATGGGTGGGAGCTCTGTGCCTGGGGCTGCCCAGCCTCCTGCCCGGCCTGGGTCCCTGCTCAAGCAGCCAACTCCACCTCGCTCTGCCCATCCTAAGGTACTCCTTGGGGGAGTACTCCTTGGGGGATGGGGATCTTCCCTGGGAGCACGAAACCACGTCTGCAGTTCCCTTCACTGAGCCTGTGAAGCCAGCAAGCACCCTTTCTTTTTCCAGCAGTGTGCTTTGCTGCTTGTGGGCAGGGGGCTGGACAGACATGGGAATTGCTGTCACCCCTGTGCTGTCATTGCTGGGACTATGAGGTGCAGGTTAAATGACTTGTCCAGGGCCACCTGGGACTTCTATGTCATTGGACACCGGCAGCATCACTCAGGTATTTTGGAGGTGCCAGGTGGCAGCTTTGGAAGGGTGAAGGGTGGACAGGACAGCATAGGCGAGCAGGCATCCACCCAGCACACAATTAGGAGTGCCAATACATTCTGCCTGCCACAGGCTGTGTTACATTAGTCTAACATTGACCTGGTTAAAAAAAACCTTTATCCTAACCCCGAAGAATGAACTGAGCCACCACTTTGGGAACAATGGGGACAGCCCTGCCGCGGTCTGGCACAGGAGGCATAGTCTCAGTGGGCAGTCTGCTGGGAGCATCGAGCATCCATGTTCCTGGAAAAGGGGCTGGGGGAACCCTGACTCTTGCTCCCACCCTGTGCTGACTGGGTTCCCAAATCCAGACTTACCGACAAGTGTCCTTCCCAGCGTCAGCCTGCCCTCCCTGCTGCCCAGGCTCCAGTCAAGCCAGCACGTGTGGCAGGGGCATGCTGTGAGATGGGAGCCCAGCGGGCACACAGCGGAGGGTGCAGAAGGGATGGTGGCTGCACTGCACAGCCCAAACAGGAAAGTCTGCTTTGCCAGCTCAGGAGCCAGGTGGCCCCAGCAGCTCCACCGGCCCCACCTCGCTGCTGACCCAAGCAGCGTTCATGCAGGCAAAAAGCCAGTGGGGAACTCCCTGCTGGACCAGGAAGCAAAACCTGCCTTCCTGCCTGCCAGAAGCTGGAGGGCATTGCTGCCCAGCTCCAGGCACTGGGAAATTGCTTCTCCAAGTTATCCCTGCAGTGATGCTGGGCTGAAATGTGTGGCTGCAGGCACTTAGCACAAGAGAATGGACACTTTCAAGGGGATGGGTGCATGACTGCATCCATCGCTGGTCAGCTCTGCCCTTGGGAAGCCCAGCTCCTTGGCCTACAGGGCACACACTGTATGAGGGCCTGCAAAACGTGTGTGTGGATGAACAGGAATGCTCTGCTGCAACACAGCAGGAAGGACAGACAGGACAAGGGGATACTGCTTGGGTGGTTTCATCCTCCAGCGCCAACACAGAAGCACCAGGCACACAGCCAGGAGCAATTTCACAGGCTTCCATTGCATTAAATTTATGCTTGTAAACTTCTTCCCTTGCTGCCAATTCAGCAAAGTCTGCCCAAAACCTGCCTTATCGCCATGTAAATTTTGGGGTGGTGTCAGAAGCAGGGAGCCATACTGCAAAACTGCCAGTGACTAGTGGCTGAGGTAGTGATGGGACGTGTCCCAGCTCTGCCCCACCACCCTGACTCACCAGTCCTTCCAGATTTTCACATGGCCACCAAGGCATTTCCACAACACGTGCCTAGCCACAGGAGAGGGGCTAGGGCTGCCCTTCAGCCACCCAAAAAATAGCCACACTCACAAGGACCTTGCACTCCTGCTGCTCAGGAAAGCACCATCTCCAGGAGCAGGAGATGCAGGAATGATGCTGCAGAAAACTTCTGGGGGAACTTTTTTCTCTAAACTGGAAGTCCCAAGGGATGCACAAGAGAAATGCAATATGGGGATGGGGGAATAGGGATATTTAAATCCTGCAGGGAAAGGGGGTCTGCATATGCACACTAAAAGCTGAGCATGTAAGTAGCCTTTTCAACAGGTGGTTTCCTAGAGACAGCTAAAAAAGAAGAGATTCAGATCTTGGGGAGAAATTCTTTACTCAGAGGGTAATGAGGCACTGGAACACATTGCCCAAAGAAGTTGTGGCCTCATCCCTGGAAGAGTTGAAGGCCAGGTCGGATTGGACTCTGAGCAAGCTGATCTGGTGCATGGCATCCCTGCCCGGGTGGAAGGGGTTGAAACTAGATGATCCTTAGGACCCTTCCAACCAAAATCATTCTATATTCTATGACCTCAGTGAGACCAAGCTGCACAGGACCCTGGTGCCTTCCCACATTTTGGGAGGAGATTTGGTGATCCTGGTGATAGCCTGATGTCATGCAGGTGGACAACTGTTCAGCCTTAGTGCATGTGAGTTTGGTCTCCATCTGGTCTCCAAGGCTGGGCAGGCTGTGTATCATGTTCCAGCAGTAGGGCAAAGGAAAAGCTGCAGGATGGTCCTGGGTCCCTGAGCCACTCTGCCCTCACCCTCTCCCCCCCACATCCCTGACAGTCACAGTCTTGGACAGAGAAAGGGTGTTGAACTATTCTGGTACCATGAGCCCCACTGGGCTGGGTGCCACACAGCCTACCCAGAAAAGTAAAATCCTAGCCCCAAAATCAACCCTGCTCAGGACAGCATGTGAGACATGGCTTTCAGAAAATTAGGGAAAAGAGACCGAAAATCATTACAGTAAAATTGCAAACGTGCTGCACCCAGCCACGCTCTGCACCTGCCTCTGCTCCCCGCATCCCTGCATCTGCCCCGAGTCACTACGGACCAGGTACCCCTATTTTTTTCGGTCAAAAATACAACCATTCAGGGCTGGAAAATGAGAGGACTGGAGGCACTCTATAAACACTCCAGCTGCAGAAATAAGACATCACGGCTTGTGGACCGCGATCAGCCACTGAGCACAAGCGCCGAGAGAGCTGCGGAGGCGGGAGCAGCGCCGAGGGCTCTCCCCAGGGTGACCGCGGCCGTGTCCGAAGCCAGGCGCAGGTGACCGTGATCCTCTGCAATGCCAGCCGGGAAATGCAGTCTGGCCCGGGCAGGACGCCAACCAGCTGGCTGCCTACAAATCCCAGCGCGCCGGGGAGCGGAGCTGCGCCCATCCCGGCTCCTGCCCGCTTCCTGCAGCGCGGCAGGGGGAAATATAAACAGCGGGACACGGCCGGGATGCTGCCGCGGGACGGGCCGGGCCGGGAGCAGAGGCAGCGCTCAGGGTGAGTGAGTGAGTGTGCGCTTTTCTCTCCGGCAGAACCCTGTCTGTGTGCAGGGGGTAACATCTGCTCCCTGCTAGGCAGCCCTAGGAAGAGCTGCGGGGACCAGCAGCGCCCGCCTGGAAGGCTTTCCTGCGGTCTGGCAGCGAGACGTGTGCCCGTGCGGATCCGGGTGTCTGGGTGCGAACAGCGCTGCGGGCTGTCGGGGCAGAGAGATGGAAAGGAGAAGTCGGGCTTGGTTTGCAGTGCTTGGAAGAGCGAAGCAGAAATTAGAGGTGGATTCTCCCACCAGGAAGGGCTGCTCAGCTCCGTTACCCCTTTGCGTTTAGCTTTGACTTTCAGAGAATACTTGGCTGAGATTATGTCGGAGGAAAGCTCCTGCCTGCGCTGGGCTGGTGTTTGCCACCCTCTCGAGGAGGAGACCCCTTCCCAGCATGGGGCAGGGGGTGGAGGAAGCAGAGGGATGCTCAGCATCTCCTGGCTTTCCAGGCAGCTCTGGCTGGGGTAGTAGCCCTGTTGCAGGACTTTCTACTCCTGGGACAGTCGGGGAGTGCACATGGAAGCTCTGAGCCCCCCATGGCAAGGCTGTGGCTCTCACGGCTGGCATCAGCCAGTGGTGCCTACTGGCCCAGGCAACATTTTTCAGTCCCTGAACAATAAACATTAATTAAATAAAACTGTGGCACAAGACAGGTCTCTGTAGAAACCCTGACTTGTCCTTTACACTGCATGTTGGCTTTGCTCTTTGCTTGCCCAGCCCCCCAGTACAGTAATCAGCTAGGGCCTTACTGGCTCACAGGGCTGTGGAGGGGCAGACCAACCCCATCGCAGGGGTCTCAGCCTTTATCCAAGCCCTCACCACACTCTTCTACTTACTCCGGCTTTTTACAGCTGCAAATGAGCTGCTGATGCAGTGAACTCCTTCATTTGTAAATGCAAATTCACCATTCAAGCAAAAGTGGCAAAAAAAGGCAACAAGGATGTGAACTAGAAACCTACTTGGGCTTTTAAAGACAGCCTTATTTTGTTTGGAAAAGAGCTACACAACAGCTTTCAGCAGTTCCACACAGAGAAAAATACTCTTTGAGAAAAACAGAAGTAAAAATAAAATAGTGATCTGTGTTTGAAAAGCCATTTTTCCATCACATTTAATTGGAGCTATTAGAACAGTTTTTCTCAGAGCAACGCTGCTGTCAGGAGAAACAGGTTCATTTGGGCTGCTATGCTTGGTGTGTAGGATGTTTCCTGTCTCCTTTCCACTCTTTCCTCTCTCAAGAATGACTATAGATTGATTACATTGTAATCTGTAGGTTTAATTTTGTATTTTCTCTTAAAGGCTGAGAGTTGAAGATGGCAGAGCTGGAAAGCACAGTCATAAACACCAATGTAAAACAGGTAAAAGGGCTGTCCATTACAAAACACACATCCTGTATTTCCAAACCAAGCCTTGAAATGCCACCACAGAAGGGAATACACCACAGCCCAGAACTGTGGTGGCCTGAATTGCTCGTGCCTGGGTTTCAGCAGAAGTCTGTCCCAGAAGGCTGTCCCAGGGCTGCTGGGCTCTTGTTCCCAGTGAAGTCCATGTGATTTCCAGTTGCTTGGACTGGACAGGTACATTTGCTCACACTTAAATTTTGGAGCAGCCATGTCTACATACACAGAGACTTTATTCAGCTGTCCAGAACAGACACAAACAAAGGGTAGTACCACCATTATGTGCAAAGAAACCCAGCACAAACAGATGACTGTGGCTGTGCTGGCCCCACAAAGAACAAAATTATGGAGCAATCCCCTCTGTGTGAGCTGTCCTTGGAGCATGTGGCACTTATCAGACAGGTTAGGGTTTCACAACTGCCAGCCCCATCCTTGGTGGCCTGAAGATGAAGACTGGGTGTGGTACCTCTGGCATCAGGAACCGTGACACAGGGGTGATACCTCCAGCACCCAACCCCACCACTCTGGTTGGTGCCCCCTGCTCACTCCATCTCCCTGAGCTCCTTCTCTGCTGTCCCCTGACTCCTCTTTCCTCCCTGTCCTGCAGAAAGACCCCAGCACAGCACTGGTCGTTGCTGTGACCACCAGAGCCATCTTCAACCTGGAGGAGGAGCACAAGCTCTACCTGGAGAAGGGCAAGGAGGAGTACACAAGGCACCAGCAGGCCAACCAGGACAAGCCCTTGCCACCAGGCACAGCCTTTGCCTTCATCCAGGTGAGCCCCACACCTGGCATGGGGCACATGCAGACACTCACAGGATGGGGTGAAAGCTCAGCTTCCCCAGCTTTAAATCTCAACTCCCATCACAGGGTTTGTCACATCATCAACCTGTGCTGATCTCTTGGCCTCATTGCAGGGCACTGAGATCTGTTCTCCTGACCAGTCCATCTCCTGGCTTTTCCAGGATGGTTGCTCTGTCTGGCTCTCCATAACATGCCAGCCTTGCCGTAGCTGACAGATGCAGCACAAACCACTAACTGTAACTGCACAAGAACCCCTGCAAAGGTACTGCAGTCATGCCTCTTTTAAAGAGTCCCATCTCCTCCCAGGCAGTGCAGTATGTTAACAAGAAGATCCTGGAGAGCAACCCAGCAGAGAGGGACCTCTTTGACATCCTGGTGCTCTCCAACAACAGCCCAGAGAGCGGCATGCGCATCATCAACAGCGCCAAGCACTACGGTAAGGGGGACCCATCCCTGGCTGTGTCTGGGAGGCTGCACAGCAGATCAGGCACCACAGTGGATCATCAGTGGCAAACAGAGAGCCAGGGGATACAAGGGGAAGGGGTTCTCTTGGACCCCAGCTCCCCTCAGCCATATCTTTTACACCAGGAAGTTGCAGCATTTTGAACGGCCTGGGCATGTTCAGGCAGGTACTGAAAATAAAAAAAGTTTAAAAAAGCCACCCTAAATCCCAGAGTGCTGTCAGGAGGAATGCTCGTTTAAGAGAGGGATAGAGCGAATATTTACATGCACTCTGCAGTTTTATAGGAGCAACAACAGGTCAAGAAGATGCAGCAAGAACACAGGCAGGTTCCCCATACATCACTGGGAAATTCATTGCCCTGAGCTCTTGCAGAAAAGCACACCAAGACCCAGGAAGGGAGGGACCAGGGAGGGGCTGTGAGGAAGATATTGCTCCATAAGATTTCACTCACATCCCTTGTCCTGAAGGCCTGGAGATCTCCAAGTTCTGCTTCGTCAGTGACGAGGACTCCACGCAGTACCTGAAGTCCCACGGCGTCAAGCTGTTCCTCTCAGCTGACAGGACAGATGTCTGCAACGCCCTCCGGAGAGGTACGTTCTCCCCTCCATCCCACGGCCCCAAACCCACCACACTTTTTCTAAGCAGCTCAGTACCAAGAGACAACACCAGAGCCTGTGATTTCACAGGGACAAGGGGTGAATGGTACATTGATTACCAGTACAGTCCTGAACAGTTCAGTTTCCTTTTCTGTCCTTACCAGTAGCCTGCAAACACACCAGGCTTGCTCAGATGCCCTCACAAATCACTGAGTGCATTATGCATCATTTTGAGCACAGCTCTGCCATGGGCTGGTCATTCCCTGCCTGACATTTAAGCCTTTCTAACCAAAAATGCAATTCTATTCATCAGTGAGGGCTTATCAGCGATTCCCAGGGCTTTGTGAGGATGCCACAGAAATTTACTGTCTTGGTACATGCAGAGTTTCTGTGTGCTCAGTAAGCACGTGTCTACCCTCAATCAGAGGAAGTGCAGTCTCCCCAACTCCTCTAATGGGGTTAATCACCTTCCTATTAATTCACTTGGATATGAGCACATCAGCTGGCCACCGTCCTTCAAGGTCAGGAGCAAGCCATCTGCAGCCTGGACTTTCCTTCACCACACAGCACATTCCTGGAACCTCCTTGAGAGAATCATTGCCCTGACAAGTGTCTCCCATCTGGGAGCCTGGGTCCACATATGAGGGTGGGCAGGGAGCAGCTTGTAGGAAGAGACTGTAATTAAGCCAATTACCACAATCAATGGAGATGCCAGCCCATATTATTCACATCACAGTGTGCTAAATCTGGGCATTAAAGATTGAGGCTTGGCAGGGTGAGCAAGCACCAGGAGGAGGGCTGCTCATGCCTTGACAACCACCCACCATCTCTTACCACACTTCAGTATCTGCCCAGACCTCGGTTTCTGATCAGCAGCACTTTCTCAGGGGATAACAGAGCCATGGAAATGCTGGGCTGACTCCCCCAGAAAGCTCCCTGACTTGGAGGCCCTGGCATGGTGATGTGGGTCAGGGCTGCAGCAGATGCGTGGGGAGCAGCTGGCCGTGCATGGGGTGCCCCAGGGAGGGCTGTCCCCCCTGACCCCAGCTTGCTCTGCCTCACAGGGGTCTCAGCGGCGCTCGTCTTCCAGCAAGAGGTGCAGGCCCCCAGCACTCCACTCCGCGTGGTGTTTGACGGGGACGCCGTGCTCTTCTCAGATGAGACAGACCGGATCTTCCAGGAGCAGGGCCTGGAGGGGGCACTGCAGTACGAGCGGGCCATGGAGGCCGTCCCCATAGGAGAGGTGAGCGTGCCACCTCACTTCCGTGGGCACCCACAGGCTCTGCCGTCTCTCCTGCTAGGGCTTTGGCATGAACAGTCACAAAAGCAGAAATCCTTACAGAGTCCCTATGCATCCACTACTCAGTCCCTGGTGTGAGCCTGATCTGGAGTCTCACTGGAAATGGATCTGTTATCTCCTGTAAATATGTCCTAAATATCTAGGATTGTGGCTAATCCAAACACCACCTATTTTAGGCTGTGACCTCTTGCTGTCCAAGTCCCTGCAGGACTCAGACCCAGAGGCACTGCTTGCTGGGATGTACCTTGCTGGTCACTTTGGGATTGGGATGAGCACCACAAGGCTCGCCTTCCTCCCAGGGACCGCAGTGCACATCCCCAGTCCCAGCATTGCCCGGTCCTGGAGCCCACAGGCATTGTGTGCTCTGCAGAGCCTTGAGAAAGTCTGAGGGAGGAACAAGTGGCTTGTACAGGCAGAGCAGGTGTTTCCTTATTTCCCACACACTCCCAACTGTCTTGCTGTCCTTCCAGGGTCCCCTGAAGGCTTTTGCCATGCACCTCGGGAAGATGCGTAAGAAGTTTGGCCACGGAGAGTCCCCCATCCGCACCTACCTGGTGACAGCGCGCAGCGGCCGGGACATGGGCGTGCGAGCCATCAAAACGCTCCGGGAATGGGGTCTGCCCATCGACGAGGCCTTCTTCATGGATGGGGCTCCCAAAGGCCCCATCCTCGCCCAGATCCAGCCTCACATTTTCTTTGATGATGGGCTTCATAACATCCAAGGGGCCCAGAATGTGGGGGTACCCTCTGCCTGGGTCCCCTCCTGCTGCTGATGGGCTGCAGGCCAGCAGTCCTCCCTCCCAGCAACACGGGACTGGGTCAGTTGGAGGCAAAACTTCTGGTGGAGAAGGAAAGATCTCCTAATGTGCAGCAAGCAAATCTCAGGGAAAGGGAACGAGAGCATGGACTCCCATGCAAAGCTTGATGCATATTTCTGCTCCTCATAAGAGGTTTTTTACGTCTTAGGATAAAGCCAAAAGACACAACTGCTCCAGGATGGGAGGACACCTTTGCTCTGACACTGGGGACTACACCTACCTGCCATGTAGGACCTGGGGACTTTTCTCAAAGAAATTAGTGAAGCTAATGCCATACACACAAGATGAAAGGAGCAAGAAAAAAAATGCTAGTTTTGGCAGTGCTCAGACTGTCCCCAAGATTGAGCAACACAGGAAGGACATCAGCCTGTTGAGCCGAGTCCAGAAGAGGCAGACCAAGATGATCAAAGGGATTGAGCGCCTCTCCTATGAGGAAAGGCTGAGAGAATTGGGATTGTTCAGCCTCGAAAAGAGAAGGCTTCAGGGTAACCTAACTGCGGCCTTCCAGGACCTGAAGGGAATGTACAGGAAAGATGGGGAGGGATTATTTACAAAAGCATGTAGTGACAGGACAAGGGGGAATGGATTCAAACTGAACAAAGGCAGGGTTAGATCAGATATTAGGCACAAATTCTTTTCTGTGAGGGTGATGAGGCACTGAAATAGGTTGCCCAGGGAAGTTGTGGATGCTCCATCTCTGGGAGTATCAAAGGTCAGGTTGGAGGATGGAGCTCTGAGTAACCTGGTCTAGTGAAAGGTGTCCCTGCTCACACCAGGGTGGCTGAAACTGGCTGATCTTTAAGGTCTCTTCCAACTCAAACCATTCTATTATTCTATTATTTATTCCCATCTGCCTGAAGAGAGCTCTCAAGACTGTGCCTCACTGGACACACTCATCTTGGTTTCCTGAGGAGAGTGATGTGCTAGTGAGTGCTTCAGGCAGCTCCAGCCAAACTCAGAAGAGGGAGAAAGACTTCAAAACTGTAAAAGACCTACAAACCTTTTAGAAATGGGTGAATGGGTTGAAGAAAGAAAGCCCAAGCTATTCCTCCTCATAAAAGAGATTATAGCACAAGACAGCTTTCCCTAGACATGCATACTGCCCAGAGTGCTTTTAGGAGACAGACGTGGGACACTCAGCTCCTGGAGCTGCAGGACAGGGACAAGGCTACAGCCCAGCACTGAGGTCCCACCAGGAGAGGGCACTGGAGATAGGCTGCCTGCAGCACAAGCCATGGAGGGGCCCGGGCTGCAGACCGGCACTACGGGGGCTGGGGCAGGACTGGGAACTGTGGCCAACCTTAAATGGATCTCCAGAGCTGTGGGTGGAGGGCATGGGTGGGGGTCTCAGGAACAACTGCTCCTTGCACATGGGGTACCTGGTGTGCTCGGTTTCCCTGCTTGACATCACACCATACCCCAAACAGGGATGCCTCTCCTCTAGCAGTTTGGACTCAGTTCTTAATTTTCCTGGGGAACAAGGAACCTGCAAGGTTCACCTGCAGGTTTCTTTCCCCAGGGCTGGATGTGAGTTGCCACTAGAGGCCACTGTGCTGCCTGGGGACATGGCACCTCAAATCCCTGCCAGCTGTCCAGAAACGCCTTGTTAAAAAACATAATCTGGCTGCTCAGGCGTCAGCGGGATTATGGGCAAGGAGATAAAGATGCTGGCTTGGTTGTTTTAACCTCAGTGTAACCAGAAAATAATTCTTTTAAAGGCTTCACAAGTGTTGCTCTCACCAAAGCTTATTTCCCCCCCCAATAAATAAATAAACAAGCATCCCAGTGTGAGTGCTTGCTCCTCATGCCTGTGTCTAGCAGTGTGGGAGGAAGGGTGGGATAACTCAGTGCTCCTTTACATACATTTGTTTACTTATCAGGTGTTTGGCATGTTCATCAAAATGGCTTAAACACACAAGAAACCTTCAGTGGGCTTTGGATTAGGTGCCTGAATGTCATCTTGTATCTGTTTCCAAGCTCAGTCCTGCTACCTTGAGCATGGGATTCTGCACTTCTTGCCTTAGCAAGGGCAGCTGCTGGCCCTGACATGCCACTGGCAGAGGTCCTGTCCCTGCCTTTGTGGCCACTGTTTGGGTCCAAACTCAGGGTTGCTAAGGCAGGGCAGGGATGCCCATGTGCACAGATTTGATAGGAAGCCACCTCCAAAGAAGCAAAGCCTGGCAGGGTCTTGGCACCAACCGTCTGGCCCATGGCCCTTTTGCTCAGTGCAGATGCTGAAATTAGATGTTTCGAGGTAGCAACATCAACAACATCAGCCACTCATCATTCGCTAATAATGCTAAGCAGCCGTCAGCTGAACAAACATTAATTACAGGATGCTCCAAACATGCTCAGTAAGCAGGTGCAGATATTTGTCCCACTTTTGTGCAGGTCAGATACCACCGGGCTCCGTGCCGGGATCCAAGCCCCCACCTCCCACCCTGCCTGCCACACACAGCCAGCTGCTTCCATGGCAGCTGCTGCTGGGGACACGGACCCAGTGCTGGAGGTGACCATGGGCATCTTCCAGCACCCTGACCCATCACATTTGCTGATGTCTGGACAGGGCCAGCAGGAGCTTGGTCACTGCCTTGGGCGAGAGGAAATTAGCTGAGTCAAGGGTGGTGGGGAAGGCCCACGTGAGCCGCTGCAGTGTGTGGGATGCTAGGGAAGCGGGAAAGCACCACATGCCTTCTTCCAGCACTGTCAGCACAGTGGGGGATGACAGGGCAAAACCTGCCCAAAATAGGAAAAAAGGAAGGAAACTCGGGACTTGTGGGGTTGCATCATATGGGGCCAAGTACAGCTGCTACAGGCCATAGTTCAGCCTTGTAGCATCAAAACTGCCCTTATTGCCCTGCTCCAATGATGTGCCATCGAAAACACCCTCTGTCAAGGACTGCTGCAGCTTCATGCCCTGCTGCAAGGACAAACTTGCTGTTTCTGTCTTAGAGGCTGCTGTAATAAGTTCATTTATGCTTAGGATGCTCCTCAGGTTTTGGCTTTCTGAGGCATCTTAAGCTCCCTCCTTCAAGGCATTGCTGATGCTCCAAGGTCTTGTGCTGCTGCTGCAACCTGAAGAGGGTTTAGCTGCTGGGGCTGGTCATGGCATGCTTCTCTGATACTCATCTCAAGTTTTGCTGGCCAGGGCAAGGCAGGAGCAGACCACAGTGCCATGTCACCACCACAGATAGGCTCCCTCTATATCCTGCTGGGTTTCATACCTTTCCACTCCAGGAAGAGAAGTGCACAGGGGGCTCTGAGGACCTGCACTTGATTCTGACCATTGCTTTCCAACAACCCTGCACAACCCCAGCCAAAGCTGCCTGGTGTCTGGGCTCCCCTCTGAGACACCCTCGTGGTCCAGAAAAGGAAGTGGGCCCCTAGTCTTCTCAGCCACAGGCAGGGCAGCTGCCTCCTCTGCAGGGCCCAGTTCTGCCAGCAATGCCAAACAAGTGGCCCTTGTTTCAGGGTGGGGCGCGTGACCCCAGGGATCAGAGGCTGCAGCTGGTTGGCCTTGAGGAGTTATGGGAGACCTTTGCCCAGGACCGTGCCCTTAATCCCTCCCTCACTGCACCAGTCAATTTAGGGTTGCAATGCTAAAAACAAAACAACTCAGTGCTAAACAAGAGAAAGGGTTTTATGAAATGGTGGTACTGCAGGGAGGGAAGATTGACGTGTATTTATCTGCTAACAGAGATCTGCAGTGGCAGTGTCCGAGCTGTTCAGCTTCATTGACTCCTGGCTGCAGAGGGAGAGGATGCTGGAGGCTGCAGGACCTGGGTGCAGCTGCAGTGTCTGCCAAGGATGCTCCCACACCTCCCTAACCTACAAGCACCTTTGATCATGAGCACTGAGCAAGGCATCTTTAGATTTTTGACCATAACCTTAACCCTAAGTCACCCTGGTGGCAGTGTACCTTGAGAAACACTCAGGACTTCTCAGCCAGAGAGGCCAAGATGCCACGTCCCACGCTGCAAAAAATTATTAACAGGCTGTCGTGCATGTAGAAGGTCAGAGAGAGGGTGTGCAAAGCCACAGACTGTGTTTGCCAACGTGCTTAAAACTGGTTTCAAGATCTTAACCCCAGGCAGTCACACTTAAAATAGTGGCTGTGGTGGCAAGTAAAGATGGAGCTTAGCAGAAAGGTGACAATAAATTAGAATTCAGAGCCTTTGTGGAAATATTGACACAGCAGAAACTGCCCCAGGAGGTCCAGACTGATTTACCAAATAACCATTGAGAGCTGGTTGCTCCCACTCCAAGAAAACACATTGCAACTTTTAAGCTGATTCTTGGGTTGCAATGGGGTGTTGACCCTCATCTTTCTGACCTCATACTCCTCTCAGGATCAGGAGTGTCAATTGCTTCAGTGTTTTGTTATGTGGAAGAGACATGATTGTAAAACTGATCGTCATCTTAGGGCAGCTTCTGATGGAAACTAAAGGAAATAATTAAATGACATCTAGTGCTGGCAAATGAAATGAAATGTGTGCTTGGACATGGCTGGAGGCACTTCTCTGCATCATGATGGAAAGCCCACCAGCATGCCAATACCCCCTGTCCCAAGTCAGGCTTACATGGGGGACAGAAGCAGGAATTGCCCAAGGTGGTGATAAGGTGAGTTGGGTCCCTGTGTTCTCCATCACATCCTGGCGTGGGTGGGGATGAATCAATACCATCATTGTCACTTATCACCCCATCCTGTCAGCCACGGGTCACGCTGCCTTGCTGCCAGGGTCTACCACGATTGTTGTTGCCCGTCCCTCGCAATTTCAGCCTGCTGCAAAATAACTCAGGTGAGGCAAACAACATGAGATCCCTGCCCTGAGGAGCAGACAGGGCCTGCAGCCAGGGAGAGGCAGGTCTCCTCCTCCCCAAGGTGGGTGCCAGGTGTGTCACTAGCCATGGGGGAGGATGGGCCAGGGGGTGACGAAGAACATCCAACGCTGAGCGGGGTCAGGAGCGGGCAGGTGGTGTGGGGGTGGCAAGGATTTGGGCAGGGCCACGAAATGCGTGGGACACAGGGACAGGCGATGTCAAGCTTGGCAGCAGCCCACTGAGACAGGGTAATGTGTAAGTAAACTCTAGTGAAGACACCAGAGCAGCTCAGAATCTTAAAGACAGTAAATATATTTCACTTATGAAATCCTTTCTGGGTTTTTTTTTTAAATAGCTAGGAAAAAGATGGAAGAGCAAGATGTGATGAAAACACTCCATGCTTGAAGGCTGCTGCAAATGGCCCTGATGAGGATGGAGCCATGCTCAGGGCTCCTGCCTGTTGTGACATCCAGTTGTGTCACACGGCCACCAGTGAGCCACCCTCACCTGCCAGCAGGATCACGGTTTGCAGCGTGAGGGACACCAAAGGAAAAAATACCAGCCTTGGCCTTCTGCAACTCCACTTAGCATTTCCCCTAGGTCACTGCAGCCCATGATGGCAGCCAGAACATGTTTCAGCAGGCTGCTGGCCAGCTGTACCTCCAAGCCAGCCCCAGTCAGCCGGCATGAATGGACTGGGGATTGCCACTACCCATGATGCCAAGAACATCTTCCCCAGTGCCCGCAGCACTGGGACACAATGGCCAGGGCTGCATGAGTCACCTTGTTGTGCTCAGTGCAACCCCTCCTCTGCTCCCAGGTTTCCCACCACCCAGAGCTGCTACTAAACCACCATTTAGTCTTGCTTTTGTGGGTGTTACCCTGAAAAAGGGTGTAGTTTGGGATGTGCCAGCGCCACTGCA